GTTGAGCTCCTCTAGCTTGCTGATCACGGACAGGCTGGTTAGGATCTCCTCCTCTACGATCTGGTGAGTGAATTGGGGTCAGTCTACGCCCTACTTAAACTTGACACACCTAAGGTTATTCTCCAGAAGCTCACAACAAACTTGTGAAAATGATTTCTACTTTCGCCTTTCACACTTTAACTCTTTTAAAATGTATTATTTCGTCCATTAGCTTACTTTGAGGCCCCTACCTCGTCTTAGCTGGCGCCACTACTAGCCTTACTTACTTTCTTAAACATGATTACCCTCACGATGGGGTGCCCCTCAAATGGGTTTGACCACCGCGGAACGAAACACCATCCGATGTCAAACTACGGCGTGACTACCGCGGAACATATCACCATCCGGTAGCACACCTAAATCTAAGCAATGGAAACCGCGGAACTCATCACCGTCCGGATCCAAGCCTGACCAACTACCGCGGAACGTATCACCATCCGGTAGTGATCAACTATCGCGGAACTTATCATCGTCCGGTAGCGATCTGTCTAGCTAGTGGCTAGCTAAGCGAGGTTATTTATCTTTACTCGTGACTTTGTCTTACTCTTAACGCCATAACTTAGTAAACGATTAAGTATTAAAAATACTCGTTCTTAACAGTCGTAAAAACATGAACTTAAATTCTTAAACGTAGATATTGAAATGCTCTAAACAATAACTCAAATCGAAGCATGCATAATCAACACAATCATAAATCAAATAGTACACACACTTCACGTAAAGCAAATACTTGAACATGTAAGGTGTAGAATTTACCCCCTTTACACTCACCTCGAAAACAGATGATTCTCAACCTCTTAGTCAATGAACCCCAGTCAACAGTACCTCGAGAGCCTATAATCCAAAAAACTTAGCTCTTTCAAAGTAACATTTTTCCGTCCTCCTAGCTTAGTCCCAAAATTCATTAAAAAGACCCTTAAACTCTTTGAAATAATTTTTCTCAAATACTAGAAATCTTTCCCCAAATTCACAAGACTTAACCTATTACTAATAACATAAAAATCCATTAAATAAATCTCATAAATCTCTAAAAAACCCTTTCCATCTTAAAACTTCCAAATTCTGACTTTGGATAATTTAAAACATAAACAAAAATTATTAACTATAATTTATACCGTAATTAACCTCTTGTTCCTATTGACTTCTAATATAAATAAATTTAATATATACATTACCAACAGCTACAATTACGGTTATTAATTTTAAAACTAGCTACCAGCATTCTAGTTTTTCACAAAATTAATAAATTAATAAAAGATATGCTAACCCTAATTTAATCAATTAAAACCGACATCTTGCCAATTTTAATAATTATCAAATGGACTCTTGAAACCCCCAAGTAATTTTTGGATAGCCTTACAGGTACTTGACTTCGAGCAAAATTAACAAATCAAACGAACTCGCTGAAATAATATTTTATTTTGCTTAAAACCTTCTTTCTACTTATTTTTTTAATTATAAATAGGGTAGAAACAATATATTATCCACAACTATTAAGTTTCGGGAAATTATATCCACAACTATTGTAATACAAATTATTAGTCATAACTACTGTTGCGCATAAATGAATGGATAAATCTCTGTTACTGTCATTAATTATTTAACGGACAGTGCCATATCAGCGGCCACATCGTCATCCACGTCAGCTAACTTTTGAATATAATTTTAAAACAAAAAAAAATTCCTAAAATTAATTGGAGCGCGCTTTCTTCTTCTCGTCCCCTGCTTTCTCCATTTCTCCGCCTCTCGCTCCCATCTCCGATTCCCAAATGGACCACCAGCGTAGGCTTCTTCAACTTCCGCTCCAACTCAACCACCGACAAAGGAGTCCGCCACCACTCCCCCGCCTCCTGCAGCAAACTCGACGGCGTCGCCATGTGGATATGGGAGAAGCTCTTCTTCTTAATCTGCCTCCTCCACGGTCCCGCCATCCACCCCCACCCCAGTCACCACTTCCACACCATCTACCTCATCGGGGACCCCAACGCCTCCCTCTGCCCGCTCGCCGCCATCTTCTTCCGGTGGGTTTCCCCTTCTCCTTCCTTTTACCCCTATAAAATTACTCAGATCTTCTCCTTGAATCTGAAAATTGAAATAGAAAAAAGAACGACTCTCCTCTCCTTCCTTTCTGATTTCCTCTTCCTTTTGCTCTCCGTTCCCCTATTCTTCTTCCACATCTCTTCGATCTCCTAAAAGAAGAACTAATCCTAATCTAACCTCTTTATCTCTATGTTCTTCCTGGTGACAAAGTGGAGAAAGGATGAGAGGAAATGTCGGCGAAAACAACGAGAACGTCGACTAATGTCGGCGGTAACGATGATGACATTGGCGACGGGAATTAGAGAATGGCAAGGGTTTCGATCTAGGATTGCATGCCATTTTTCAGGTTTGGGTTTAGGGTTTTGATTGATTTTATGGGTTTTCTTTATTATTAATGGTGGCAATTGACCCATACGGCGGCGAATAGCAACAACACCTGCAGCAATAGCTCCGCCCCTGTCGGATCCAGTGATGGAAGAGGGCGAAGGAAGACAGACAGGGGAGGGCGGAGGAAGAAAGGGAAGAGGGTCACGAGAGGATTCCTTTTAATTTTTAGGATTTATTTAGTTATTTTTTCTTTTCATTTTCTTAAAATTAAAAAATGTGATAGGGTGACTGCCACGTGGGAGCCAGTTCAGTTTCATAAAGCTTAGTCAGCATTATTAACGAAATTGTTAACAGAAAGTTAACGTTTGGCTAATAATTTGTATTACGATAATTGTGGATATAATTCCCCGAAACTTAATAGTTGTGGATAATATATTGTTTTCACCCTTATAAATAAATCTCGAAAAATTCTCAAATTTATATCTATAGATCCCACGAATATCTCCTAGTTTATCAAATTAACAACTCATAAAAATGCATACAGTACGTAGACGAATAATAATATCTTTGAGAAAAATACTATTTTCAGTCTATTGTAAACTTTCAAAATACTAGGGACTAAGCTGTTCGGACTAAAAATATGGAGGACTAAACTGCACATTTTCTAGGATACAAAATTACCGCCATAATCCTAATACTTATCGAATAAATAGATTAGTACCTGAACTATCCGATTCACAAGTCCCAAACTTTTGAGGCTCGTATCTCACTGTTTGATGCCGGAATTCAATTCTGTTGAAACTGAGATGCTCCTGGGTTCAGCCTCTTTGCAGTGATACCCACTCAAAGCATGGACGAAGTCGACTATGCTGGGGTCACTGTCGAAGCTACGATTATCACGACCATCGTCTGATTAGTCGAGGCTTTAAAAAGTCTTAGGAGCAACGAGGATCGAGGGCCTTACCCTAATCAACGATGTTGATGACTCTGGTTCTCGTAGCCTGTTGCGTTCTCCCTCATGGCAGCCGTACGAAAGGAAGCCGGAACGACGACTATGGGAGACGAGGTCGGAAAGTGGTGGCGTGCAGCTGCTGCTGAAACAATCTGGGAATCGCTTGCTGCTACGTTGGGGATGGGAAGCTAGGTGACGCGGGTTCGGGAATGGAAGAGGCTAGGTTTGCTTGTTTTTTTTCTTTCTTTCCTTTTCTCGCTGTTATGATCGACTAATGCTGAAATAAGACATAAACACACAACCTAGCGTGAGATCGGCTTAACACACGAGAATCGACTCTCAAACGGCTCAAGAATGGAGGTATAAACATGTGTAATTGTTGGTCTATCAAATTCCCCCACACTTAACCGTTTGCTTGTCCCCAAGCAAACCTAACTCAAACAAATGCAGCTCTCCAGACCTCTATAGCAACAAATAACTCCGATCGTCAGTAGAGGATTTCCTAGATCATATAGCAGCTTACGAGGTCAACTGGTCTTCTAAGACGTCCCCTAACTCTCTCAATGCGAGTACTAGACTCAAGCAATGATCATGAGAAGAAGTGGAAGTAAGACAGCCAATTCATGGGTAAAGGGACTCACACCATTCACCACTCATGACTCATTGTACCGGGGTGCTCCTTCACTTCATTTCACCGTTGGAACCCTTTTTTTCACTTTCATTTTACATTTCTTTTTTCCTTCACTTGGCGGGGGGTTCCAACTGCAGTCTATTGTACGGTTGACCCTTGTTAGTGGAGTAAGAGCAATTTCTGTACATCTAGCACTCGCCAGAGTACTTCTTTTAACTCCTTTTCCTCAATTCGTGTGGAGAGTCAATGAAATTAAGGGGGGTCGGAAGCTCTATCCGTGCCCTTAAAAACACATCCTCGAGTAGGAAAACCGTTCAACGGGTGAAAATTTTACTCGTACTAGAGACAACTTAGCTTCACCTTGTAGGAGTACCCCACTAAGGATCACTAAAATCTCTTCCAAAACCCGATTTTATGCAATGAACGATGCCACACACGTTGGGCTTACCCCATGTTTAAGATTTCAATGATTTCGTCATGGAGGACCAACTGCTTTTCATTTCCCACATGAGCACCCTGTTCAATACACGAGTCCACAACACAATTCAAAAGGAGTCACCATTACCACATGAATTCAACGGTCTTAACTCCACTAATTCACAAAATCAACCGGCACATCAAAGAGCTAGATAGGAAAAATCTTATACTTCAACATCCTCCATAGTGCTACACTACCTCCCTAGGTTCCACATTACTATAGAGACTATCAATTCAAAGCATACTGACAGGCAATTAGCATGGAACACGTACTTGGAGCCCTCAAATCAAATTTTGAACAGTGGACTAGGCTCCAAGCACACAAACAGATCTAAGAATTCACACGCATACATAATCGAACATCCCCCCCCCCCCCCCCCACACACACACACACTTAAGCACGACATTGCCCTCAATGGAGAAAAGATATGGAGGGTAGAACGAAGTTACCAGATCAAGGGTGAATGATGGTGGACGGGGCAGGCAGTGCCTTCCAGGAGGAGAGAGTAGTCGGAACACAAACACCACACAAAATTTCACAAAGTTGATTTATTGAGTCTAAAATCAAAGAACAAAACTGACTCAACCGAGGATAAATAGAGAAAGAAATGCAAACCAACTGGTTGGGTTGCCTCCCAACAAGCGCTTCTTTCACATCGTGAGCCGGACGAGGGCTCCTAAGTTTCGGTCCACCCGAGAACCTTTTTGAAGTTGAGGTTCTCGTTGATGAGGTGGAGTCTCAAGTCACGAACATGTGGTATGACAGGTGATGGAAGCTCGTGAACTTGATGCAGATGAAGTCTCCACCCTCGAGACCTCTTCTTCTCTCGTCTCATTTCCCCAAACCAGATATGACATCATCGATTGGCCACCATCGCGTCCACCAAGAGAGACCGATGTCGATGTGGACTTGGTCTGGCAAAGAGACACTTCAAATGGGTCCTTGCTAAGCAATATCTCAAAGTTTGGTGGAGATATCACATGTAACTCATGGCCGGTGCAACTATGCAAGCCTCTTCCACCTCAACTTCGTCCTCGACCTGGACAATTGCTTCTTCAACCCCCCTTCCTTCTTCATGTGGTATCACCCTTGGGAAAAGATCAAGAACTTCTTCTGCTTCACTTTCATCATCCTCCACAACTACTTTCTGCACTTGCTCTTCTTCTTTCAGCACGGATTGGAGGGCAAGTCACCAAACAATTTCTTTGATGAGATCATCTTGCATCTCCTCACTCATGCATGCCTCTTCAAAGCTCAGTGTGGGATGTGGGAAGGTGTGGTCGGCTACGACAGGACATTCGTGATCATGTTCATCATGGGAGCTCTCCGTGACAACTTCTGTCTGCTCCACAATGTCTTCGTAGACTTCGTCTTCCTCCCCTTCTAGTATAGTAGCAGAAGGGTGATCTTGAGCAGGCTGTGCATAGGATTTCTCAAGATCATCGAGGCTCTTCTTAATGCTCAGGAGGATCTCCTCTGTTTCACGATAGGCCAGGTACAAAGATCCATCTTGGAGCATGATCTCTTAGTGTCTCGAGCAAACTGCTCCATGAGAAGCCTCAATTTATAGTTTGGATATGAATGTGGAGTGTAGCATGGCTCTGCAGAATGGCCCGTGAAGGCCGCGATGGCTAACTCCAGCTCTGATGGCCCTTCTGGTTGTGGGAGAAGCTCTTCATGACAAGGAGGTTGTTCTTGATATGCCCAGGGGTCTGCTTGTTCTCCGTAGTAAGGGGGTTGGTACTGGAACACGAATCCATAGTTTTCTCCTCCTTGATTGCTCCAGGAAGTCTCGGGGTAGTACCACTCGGACGGTGGTGGATACCCCCAATGGTTAGAGAAGCCATGAGGATCCATGATTCAGATCTGCACCAACAAAAACAAAAACACCCAAGTGAATAGCAAGGGTGGAAAAGAAAAGAAAAATGCTAAAGTAACAAACTTCTTCCTTTCCTAATAATCTAGAAAATCCCCGGCAACGGCGCCAAAAACTTGACTCGCTATGACACAACTCCTAACAAAGGCCAAGTGTAACCAATGAAAGGGACTTCAGTATAGTGGCTCAAGTAATAAATATCAAATCCACGGGTCTCTAGAGTTACTATTACTCAGCTTCAGTTCAATATCTAGCAAACCAGATTAAGATGGAAAAACTAAAACTACTCTAACAAACTACAGTTAAAGTTAATCTAATTACAAGTTGGTAACTCACTTAGGTTTGATTCCCCCTAGCCACTAGCCACTAGCCAGATTAATGATTGATGATCTCTAACTTGGTTCACTTTCATTCACAATGCGGAGAATCCTTAACTAGACCTTGAATCTTGACTAAAGGATCAAGGCCCTCTTGAGTCGATTGCCTAGAGTGACGTATACTTCTCTAGAACAAGCGATCAAGGCGTTCTGAACTAGACTCCCTCTATCGAATGAGGTTCTCAATCGATACAAAGCAGTGAATCGACCCTCGACTAAAGCAATCGATCCAATACTATCAATCCATGGTGCTCTATTGACCTAATCAGGTATTCGCTCTCATAGGATCAAAGCAGAATCAATAATCTCGACTAAAGAAATTGAATCATGAAAACGTGCATAGATTGAATATGAACTCAATATTTCCAAGTAGGAGTACTCATACAGTTATCCAATCAAACAAACATAGCTAGGGTTCCTTAAAACCTAAGTGAAGCGAAGTTACTCCATAGAGAAGAGAGAGACTGTAGTACGAATCTTCAGATGATCAGTCTTCAAGTCCGGACTTGTTCCTTGAGCTTCCAAGACAAAGCAATCCTCCAATTCGACTCCAAGAATGCCCTCAAATCGCCCTCTCTCTCTTTGGTTCGTCCCTTGGGTGTTTGGGATCCAAAAGCCAGCTCTCCCTCCAAAACGCACAAAACAGGCTTTAAACAGCCTGCGTTCGCGACCCGATCGTAATCCCCGATCGGGTATTTCCAGTGTGCGTCCGGGGATTTTGAAACACAGCGCAGCACCGAAGGGGTTAATACCAGATCATGGTCCAGAATAGCCGATCGAGTAATTTTTCTCTCAGGTCGGGACCCCTCCTGCTTCTTGGCGTCCAAAAACAACTTTCCCCGCCCTCCCATTGCATTTTACCCGGCCAGGTATTTCAACTCATGGCCGGGTATTTTGCTCTTCCAGCACCCTTCTACTCCAACGTCCTCCTTTTGACCGAAACTCGTTTCCTCGCCTTCACATCAACGCCAAGTCCTGAAATATGACATAAACACACAACGTAGCGTGAGATCGGCTTAACACACGAGAATCGACTGTCAAACGGCTCAAGAATGGAGGTATAAACCTGTGTAATTATTGGTCTATCAAATTCCCCCACACTTAACCGTTTGCTTGTCCCCAAGCAAACCTAACTCAAAACAATGCAGCTCTCCAGACCTCTATAGCAACAAACAACCCCGATCGTCGGTAGAGGATTTCCTAGATCATATAGCAGCTTACGAGGTCAACGGATCTTCTAAGACGTCCCCTATCTCTCTCAATGCGGGTTCTAGACTCATGCCAGGATCATGAGAAGAAGTGGAAGTAAGACAACCAGTTCATGGGTAAAGGGACTCACACCATTCACCACCCAGGACTCATTGTATCGGGGTGCTCTTTCACTTCATTTCACCATTGGAACCCTTTTTCACTTTGATTTTGCATTTCTTTTTTTATCTTCACTTGGCGGGGGTTCCAACTGCAGTCTTTTGTACGGTCGGCCCTTGTTAGTCGAGCAAGAGCAATTTTTGTACATCTGGCACTCGCCAGAGTACTTCTTTTAACTCCTTTTCCTCAACTCGTGTGGAGGGTCAATGAAATTAAGCGGGGTCGGAAGCTCTATCCGTGCCCTTAAAAACACATCATCGAGTAGGCAAACCGTTCAACGGGTGAAAATTTTACTCGTACTAGAGACAGCTTAGCTTCACCCTGTAGGAGTACCCCACTAAGGATCACTAAAATCTCTTCCAAAACCCAATTTTGTGCAATGAACGATGCCACACACGTTGGGCTTACTCCATGTCTAAGATTTCAATGATTTCGACATGGAGGACCAACTGCTTTTCATTTCTCACTTGAGCACCATGTTCGATACACGAGTCCACAACAAAATTCGAAAGCAGTCACCATTACCACATGAATTCAACGGTCTTAACTCCACCAATTCACAAAATCAACCGACACAGCAGAGAGCTAGATAGGAAAAATCTTATACTTCAACATCCTCCATAGTGCTACACTACCTCCCTAGGTTTCACATTACTATAGAGACTGTCAATTCAAAGCATACTGACAGGCAATTTGCATGGAACACGTACTTGGAGCCCTCAAATCAAAATTTGAACAGTGGACTAGGCTCCAAGCACACAAACAGATCTAAGCATTCACACACATACATAATCGAACATCCCCCCCCCCCCCCACACACACACACTTAAGCACGACATTGTCCTCAATGTAGAAAAGATAAGGAGGGTAGAACTAAGTTACCAGATCAAGTGAGAATGATGGTGGACGGGGCAGGCGGTGCCTTCCAGGAGGAGAGAGTAGTCGGAACACAAAACCATACAAAATCTCACAATGGTTGAGTTATTGACTCTAAAATCAAAGAACAAAACTGACTCAACCGAGGAGAAATAGAGAAAGAAATGCAAACCGACTGGTCGGGTTGCCTCCCAACAAGTGCTTCTTTCACGTCGTGAGCCGGACGAGGGCTCCTAAGTTTCGGTCCACCCCAGAACCTCTTTGAAGTTGAGGTTCTCGTCGATGAGGTGGAGTCTCAAGTCACGAACAGGTGGTATGACAGGTGATGGAAGCTCGTGCACTTGATGGAGATGAAGTCTCCACCCTCGAGGCCTCTTCTTCTCTTCTCTCGTCTCATTGTCCCAAACCAGATATGACAACATCGATTGGCCACCATCACGTCCACCAAGAGAGACACTGCAAATGGGTCCTTGCTAAGCAATTCCTCGAAGTTTGGTGGAGATATCACATGTAACTCATGGCTGGTGCAAGCCTCTTCCACCTCAACTTCGTCCTCAGCCTGGATTTGAATAAAAAATGATAAAGTTGAGCAACGACGCAGACATATATGTGAAGGCGGTAAACCGGTTGTTATAACCGGTTGTTAACCGTTAACCGGGTATCTGGTTAGTCGGTTAACCGGTTACCTCCCGATAACGATAATCGACAGCTGTGTGGAACAAAACGCTATACCGAAAATCGGTTAATCGATTACCGGTTAACCAGTAACCGATGGATTACCACCCCTAACTTCGCTACATCCCCAACTTCCAATTTATTTTCCAACTTGAATCAACCTTTAGTGCGCCCGTTGCTAAACCTACAAGTAAATTTTAGTATGCAAAGTATTTATATACATGTTGATAGCTATAAGAAAATAACTTTGATATATGTCATTCCTTATGCTAGACTACGGAAAGTCAAAAATATCATTAAAGATGTATTCTATGAAGTTGCCAAAGAACGAGCAAAAATGTGTTCAACTATAGACCTAACTACATTTCGATTAAGTCCTTCAGTCATGGTAAGATGTAGACGATCTAAATTACTTTATACCCTCTTTTCAAAGATTTCTACTAATAATCATACAATTCTATTATTTCAACTTATTTCATTAAAAAATGTTGGTTCATTGTAGGAAAATTATTACATTATTGTTGTTGGTCATATCCGTGACATGAGAGCCATTTGGGAATTCACCTGTTTTTCTACATTTTCCAACCAACTATTAGTGACAATTTTGCATTATGTCCACGATTCATCTTGGCAGCTACCGAATCCTTTTCTAGATGGGCAGGCTTGCTTTCTCTTAAAGAGATGAAAGCTTCAAGCCAATCGGTCGGGTAAAAAAAGGATATATTTCAAAATCCTATAATTTTAGATTCATTGTGCGCGTCGTAATCAACAAGGATGATGTCAACTAGGAACACTATAGAAAGATATTGAAATCTATCATAAACCAATCTTTTTCTTTCATTTTTAAGGTTCATGATGTATGTATTAGGGGAAACGACTCTAATCTTCAATTATATTGAATTCTTAAGTACTGAAAATCGATTATGTATATTTGTTTTTAGTAATTATATTTCTTTTGAACATTCGTATTTGTTATCTTTTTATTATATAGTTAGCATGTTATTATTGATAATTTTTTGGGTAGATTTTTCCGGTCAAGGACCGGGCCCTGTGCTAGTTATTAGTTTAACTGATATTAGACCACTAAAAAATCGTTTCAATCATTCAAACATAGGTTAATTGATCAAATGTTACCCACACAGTTTTGGCTTGACCAAGCTAAAACTAAAGCTCCAAACATCAAAATTAGTGAATAGAGTTCTAACACTATATTTGACATATACTATCATGGTATGCTTCAGATCAATAAACCTTTAGTGAAATTGTCTGAATGGTAACAAAGTACAAAGTCCCTTGAGATCAATTTAAACAATTTGTTTCTCATGACACAATTCAAACAATATACAATTACAATAACACCTAACTAATTGCTATATTTTTATTTTATGATGAACTGCCACTAAATGCGAGCAAATTATCTAGCGCGAGAAAATCTAATCTAATCTAAACTAATAAAATCTCAATTTCCCCGGCTCCTCCGCGGAGCACGGAGGGACATATCAGTAAATCCATATTTATGAGACGCAATAAAGTATTAAAGTGATTACGGAAGGCCAGAGGATATCATATTTATGGACCATATACAAACCAATAAAGTGAGTACGGAACGGGCTTTAATTAACGGCCTAGTCCCACAACATGTTTCTTTATTTATCTCTAAAAATAAAAAAATTTAAAAAAGGTCATGGCGAGAGGAGCTCTCCCCTCTCTCCTCGAATTTTCTCTTTGGCTGGGGGAATGGATTAAGGATGTGCTTTCTTCTTGGCTCTTGGCAAGCTTGCAGAATCAGCAAACGGCCGGGTGTCGTCCTACAACCACCTCTGGAGAAAACAAAAGGCGATGCGCAGGGCATCCGAGCACGCTGCAGGGCAGAAAGTCGGATTGCCAATGAAAGAGTGCCGCCGCACCGACATGCAAATCGGTAATATGTAAGCGGAAACAGAAAAGAGGCATGGTAGGGGGGAACGATGAAACCCTCTTGAACGCCCGTGTTAAAAAAGGCAGATTATTATCGTTGAAGGGATGGCAATTCTGGCTCCCACCTACTTCTGTTTTGGGTGAGGAGGAATCGCCTGTTGCACAGGTTATAAGTGGATAAAATAACCTCTAATTTGGTTCAAGGTGCTCAGGGAGCCGAATCGAACAGACCTCTTATTATGTGGGTAGCAGTTTTGAAAAAAACGGCTTTGCTTTGGGCGACGAAGAATTCGACTGCTATTCAAACTAGATACTCCGCCGGCGGCCACTGGCTCCTACCGCCGGCCAAGGGGGTACACAAAATACATCAAAATCGGGGGCCAGGATCCGCATCTGTTGATCGCCGATTCAATCCGGATTTCTCGTGGTCTTTTGGGACGGATTTGGGAAACCTTATCTCTCCTAACAAACTTATCGGCAGGAGGCTGAACGTTGATAGCTCTCCTACTTCCAATACAACTCAAAATGCCAACGGTAATTGGCAAAGCGCGTTAACCACTAGAGAAGCAGCTATGACTACGTTTCTCGCTATATATTCACCTCTGCTGCGTATGATTTTCCAACACTATCAGGAAAAATATTGTGTGTGTGGCTCCCCCAGCGCAGCAACCCCCCCTCTCCCTAGTGCGGCCGTTTCGAGCTCAGGTATAAAGGATTGTGATCTTGCATCCAGCTTCTACCTTTCCTCTAAGGCTGATGTTTCCAATACGCTGCTTGACAAACATGTTCCAGCCCCTAGTTCGAATGTGTCTATTTCGCTGGGCCTGATGCATGACAATCCTTTTATTGATTCCCGTTTGATTGCTGCCTCTTCTTGTCAGGAACGAGGTATGGTTCATGTCACGGAAGACCAGTTGGTCTAGTTATCTCTGGATGAGGTTCAGTCCACGAAGCTTCGCGCGTCACGCACTCTGTTAGGGCGTTTGTTCAATGCTGAGCAAATATCGACATTAGAACTGCGTGACGCCCTGGTCGATGCTTGGCAAATCAAGGGACGGGTGAAAGTCTCCATGGCAAGCCACGGTTTATTTGAAATCATGCTGCCTAAAGAGGAGGCAAAAAGCTGGGCTCTTAAGCGTACCCCATGGGTGATTAAGGATAAGCTCCTCTACATCCGATCCTGGGCGCCTTCAGTGTCTCGGAAGACCTTTGAGGACTTATCCGTAGCTCCTCTCCGCATCCAACTTTGGGGCATGAAGGATGACTGCTGCACCAAGCTCTTTGGGCTCAAATTTGTGGCTGCGGCTATTGGTCAGGTCTTAGAGTCGGACCTTTTTACTTGCAAGGATACGGGCGAGCGATTTATCAAAGTTCGTGCTGTTATTGATTTCGCCAAACCACTCCGATCCCAGCTGCTGGCGGCTAGTGATGATACTGGTTGCTTTTTGGTGAATTTGAAGTACGAATATCTCCCGAGCTTTTGTTATCATTGTGGTCGGGTGGGTCATGCACGACGTGATTGTACCTTTGACCCGCCAAGTGGGAAAGAACGCTTCGACCCACATATGTCAACAAAAAAGCTGGGTCGACGGCTTTATGATGACGAGGGCGACACCATGACGGCCAGAGGCCCTCAACAAATGGTTTGGGTCAACCGCCAGATTAATGGCCCTGTCACCAAGGCTCAAACTTATATTCGAGACAGCAAAGCGGACAGACAGGTGGCTAACCAGACATTGGAGGCGGCGGCTCCCCAAAGAGACATAGGAGGAGCAGGTCCTGCTGAGATTCCGAGCAAAGGCCAGGGCTTGCGGAAATCTCTGAAGAAGAAAATGAGCCTGAGAGGGTTTTCCCTCAATAAACCCCCTCGGATCAAAATTGGGGGTGGAAGAACTACTCGCCAAGCTAAACGTGATACTGTGGTTGACCACATGATTCAGGGGGCTGAATTCGTAGAGGAGCGCGAGATCACTAGCGAGTAGTTTTCTGCCCAACCAGAGATGGCCGAGTGCGCTACGGGCGTGCTTGCTCAAACTCGGCGACGTCGTCTCCTACTGGAGTCCGATTGATTCTGATGATGACGCCCTATCGATTGATGCTATTCAACAAGACACTGGTCGGGGCTCCGAATAGAATAACAACACTCCTTTTATTGTTATTATAACAACAAGGGCATAATTGTAAATGAAAATAAACATAATAAAAAAAATTATTTCATCCTCTCTCCCATTCAGATCTCATCGTCGCCATCTCAGCCCCTCTCTCCCCCAAAATGCCCGCGACGGAGGCGGAGACACCAATCTTCATCGTTGCCACCGACGACCACCGCCACCGACTCCCTTCTCAAATCCTGCCCCGCAACCATCACCAACCTCCCCATCGTTCCCCTCCCGGCCGCTGACTTCTCCCACCACGTCCAGCCCTCCGACCACATCGTCACCAAGCTCCTCGCCATGATGCGCCACTCCATCCCCAACCTCCGCTCCGCAATCTCCGCCCTGCCCACCCCGCCCACCGCACTCGTCGTCGACATCTTCGGCACCAAAACTTTTCCCCTTGGCGACGAGCTCGGCTTGCTCAAGTACGCATTCGACACCACCACCGCTTGGTTCCTTGCCACCGCCGTCTACAGACTCGAAAACCCTGCTCGAGGCACTCTGTTGTCATTGGAAATCATTTGTGAAGTTTCTCTGTTTTTTTCAATCTCTGCTGCTGGTGTTGCTCAGAATCGGCGCAATCAACATTGTCTCCGTCGAGCATATGACAGGCAGCAATAGTGCAACTCCATATCAGCGGCGGATCCAGGATATAAAAGTGCACTGGGCCGGATTCGAACATAAAATTAGATACTGTAAACGGAAAAAAAAATTATAGTTTGCATTACAATGTCAATTGTACACGACGGTCTTTTAATTTATCAAATTCGTCAATAATTGAGTCTTCATCCATACCAAATCACTACTGTGAAGGTAAACCAGCAAGACCAATCAAACAAAAGCCCTAGAACTGCAGCATCAACTTAATCCAGTTTCCAAATGCAGCAAGTAAACCCACTGAATTCGTCTACCAGTGAGGTTCCAAAATCATTGATACATTTAACCACAAACTAGGGGCTTAATCGCTAAATAAATCAGCAAGAGTGCAATAATAACAAGGACAAGGGCCAATATATGGTTCAGAGCTGGGAATTAGAGAAGCAACCTGAGTCGCAGCAATTACAGGAGAGGCAACACCAGCGGTGTCGCAGCCAGCGTCCCAGCGATCAGCGTCTCAGCGAGCAGGTCTGTGTCTGTTCGTCTTCTTTTTTTTCTTTTTTTTGGTTCCAAACTTGCAGGGGAAGCTAATAATGGCTAATGAGGAGTTGGCGGGTAGGGGTGCTTAACGGTAATGCGGTTAACGGTTTAACCGATAACCGTACCGGTAACCGCGGTTATCAGTTAAACCGTTAACCGAAGCAAACGGTAATCAGATGAAGTTTTGAGGCTAGCGGTATACCGAGATCCGAACTGTCAAATACCGCCGGCCGATTGGTATTCCGACACCGATTTGGAAAAGGCAATCAAGCGATCATCGACTAGGTCTAGGATTACCAAACGTCGACCACCAAAAAATCCCTAACTAATTACTAATTAGACATCTAATCGGCCACCCAAAGAGCCCTAAGTATCCTGTATCTATTTCACTATTTGCATCCTCCCCTGCCTGCTGCACGAGCACGACCGCCGATCCTTCCTCCGTTCATCAAATCCAAACGCCGTCTCCATCGCTGGCGCAAGCTCCACCCAAGAGCCAAGAGACATGACCCAACAGCCCTCATCCAGTCATCTATTCATCTCCGCCAGGCTCTGTTTCCGTCAAGCCCTTCACCGTTGCTCTGTTTCCGTCGATTCCCATTGCCGTCGGATTATCATCACTCTACCGCACAGCCCAGCTACTCGTCATCTCCTGCTCTCCGTCAATTTGAGAGGTAACTTGTGTAGCCGAGTTTCATTCTTTCAGTTTCATAATCAATTAATCGTAGTCGTAGCCTAGTAGTCGTAGGCGAGCAGCCAAACAGAGAAGCAGTGAAGGGAAAAGGGTACAAGACAATGAGACCCAATGTTCATGTTTCATTAGGCTTCTACTTTGTGGCAGACAAGAGGTAGGACAGGGCAAATAGAGTAATAGACAAAAGACAATGATGAAAATGAATAATTATGGCCTTCTTTCTCCTAATTTCCGTTCCGCCCACAGCAAGCCAGCAACAGCCTACCGGATTTCGGGAAACCGTTCCCTTTACCGATGCCGTTCCAATTCGGTAAGCGGTATATCGAATCTCCTCGGTATCGGATAACGGCGATGGTGTGGGGACTTCCGGTATACCGGAAACCGGTCAATCGGTAACCGGTTTAACCGGTTACCGACCGTTTAGCACCCCTATTGGCGGGAGATTGTTATTTGGGTTGTTTGGGCTGCAGGGGAATAATTGTTATTTGGGTTGTTTGGTCTTGAGACGGGCTGGGCCCAAATAATCATACATTGAAATGCGGCTGGATTGGGTCTTGGGGTGGCAGGGAGGGCTGGGCCCGGGCCCAGTCTGGCCCCCCCTGTATCCGCCGCTGCTCCATATCTGTAAGTTCTCTATTTCTTTCCTCCAATGGTAGTTACGTTTCTCATTTCCCTTTGACATAGACTGTATATATATTTACTAAGAGTTGGCTTGTTTCCAGAGATATATTCTAGAAAGAGGTTAACAATCCCACTTTAGGATCTGCGTGGGTGGCTTCCTTCTTATTTCTACATATTTAAATGGTAAGCTATATTCAAATAAGAGTCATATGAGTCATGGTCTGATAATTTCCATGAAAGAAACATGTAGAAAAATTGAATCATTTCATCAGGAATCTCCGGTTAGACGAAAATTTTATGCAACACATATGGCTTATTATATTGTTTTTCATGAATCTCGGTTTAATTGCATTATTAGAGGTGTATTTATAAAGAACACCAGAAACTTCATAATACATACCATAAATACGGTAAAACAACTCACAAAAAGCAAACCAGAAACCTTCTAATGCATACTACAAATCTCCTAAAATAAAACACAAACCTCACAAAGCAAACCACAACATTTGCGAAAGCACATCAGAAACCTCCTAATGCAAACCAGAAACCTCCTAATGCATACCACAAATCTCCTAAAACAAACCACAAACCTCACAAAGCAAACCACAACATTTGTGAAGCACACCAGAAACCTCCTAATGCAAACCACAAAAACAGTAAATCAAACCACAAAAAAGCAAACCATAAACGTCCTGATGCAAACCACAAATATATTAAAACAAACCAAAAACCTCACAATGCAAACCAGAAAGTTTTTTAAACAAAAACAGTAAATCCAACCACAAAAAAGCAAACCATAAACGTCCTGATGCAAACCACAAATATATTAAAACAAACCAAAAACCTCACAATGCAAAAACCACAAAGTTTTTTAAAGCAAACTAGTAACTTCTCAATGCAAACCACAAACACGATAAAGCAAACCACAAAAGGCATAAAAAATATGAGAAACCAAACCATAAATCTCACAATGCTAACCATAACATCTGGTGATCGTTGACCGTTGACTGGTCAACGAAGTTCGTTGACCGAACTCCGGTGACCGTCAGTGAGCAGATTCCGACGCCGATAAGCATATTCCAGCCCAGATGGCTAGATTCCGACGCCGGTAAGCATATTCCGACACCGGTAAGCATATCCCGGTGACAAATAGCATATTCCGGCGACAAAAAGCTTATTCCGGTGACCGACGACCGGTTTCCGGCGACCGGTGGCAGGATTCCGGTGACCAAATTTTTGGGCAAAAAATAAAAAAAATATTTTTTATTTTTTTATTATTTAAACAGATTTTTCATAATGACAATTATACCCCTGCTTTGATTTTACACTAGGTCAACTAATCCTATTAAAAGTCATCACAATCCTAGCTTCCTATTGGTTGGAGACTAGTGTTGTTACAATAACAACACAAGGGGTGTTGTCATAGTAACCGGTCCCACTGGTCGGGGGCCTGCGAAGAAGAATCCTCCCCGCAAGGATAGAAAGCGGACTGGGCCGCAAGATGGGCCTAGGAGTGAGGTGGAGGTAGGCTGTGAGGGCTTCCCAGCAGCAGATTGTGAGCCCAACCAACATGACGTGTCGGGCCTTCATGCGCGGAAACCGGTCCATCCTCGGCCACAAGCAGCCCAGCCCATAAAGAGGGGAAAGCTGCGGAAAGCCCTGGGCGGCGGGGGGAGCTCATCTCAACTGACTGGCGGCCCAATAAAGGAAATGCCCTCTGGTTTGGCTCCGACCAGGCCCATGGGATTTAAATGTCCAGCTGAGAAGGTCCCTGGGTTGGCCCTCAGTAATAATAAAATGATCAAGGCCCTTGTCTCGACGGATTCGGATTCGGAGGAGGATTTTCAGTGCTTTGAAATTAAAAAGCGAATTCCCTCCGCTACACCAAAAGAATCTAGTGCTGCCACCAAGGGGTGTGTTAGCCAGGTCGTGGCCGCTTTTGAAGCTGGGCTTTCTATAAATGCTGTGCAGCAACCCATCTTGCAGGAGCAGATGGGGAATGTTAATCCGAATCAGGCTGAGCAGACTATGGGAAAGGTAGAAGGCTCTCAGTTTGATGAATATGGGTCGAACCTATTGAACCCAGATATAGGGGCGCGTAAGCGTTCGCTGGAGGCTGTATAGGGTGACAAGAGTGACATACCCACGCCAAAGAACAATTTGTGGAAGCTGCTGAAAATATGGAACAGGTGGAGGAAGTCAGCCTAGAGTGGCCCCAATTGGATAAATGAAGCTTTTGGCCTGGAATGTGAGAGGAATTGGTTTGGTTCGTTCTAATAAACCGGATCTCGTGTTCTTTTCGGAAACACGTTCGAGCCGGCGAGTTGTCTCCCGTCGTATGCGGGGTTTGTGTTTTATGCTTTCCAATTGTTTTTTTGTGGATGCGATTGAGGGGTCTGGTGGGTTAGTCGTAGCTTGGTCTCCCGGAGTGGATGCTTCGGTGTTTTATCATTCAAGTTTCTGTATTTTCTCCCGTATTAATGAAATGAATTTTTCCTATATTGTGGTCTCTGCCTACATTAGTTGTAATGCCGCAATCAGAGCCTCCCAGTTGGCTCAGCTCCAAGAGCTATGTTCTACTATTCCCCTTCCCTATATTGTTATTGGCGACTTTAATACAACCCTCCATGAGAGTGAAAAGGATGGTGGTAACCCTTGGAACGCTTCCCAGGCGTCTAGCCTGAGGGACTTTATTCAGGATCTGGGCCTCCATGACCTTGGCTTCCTTGGGGACCAGTTTACCTGGACGAATAAGAGGATGGGCGCTGCTTGTATCCGTGAGCGCCTGGATAGGGCCCTTTGTTCCCAAACCTGGATGGACCGATTCCCAGATACCTTGGTCAAGCATTTTACGAACCAAGGGTCTGATCATCGGGCTCTTATTCTCTCTGATAAACCCTATGCCAGAAATTGCCGCCCTCTTTTCAGGTTTGATGCCCGCTGGGCAAATAATCCTGAGGTCAGGGCTATGGTTAACTATGTTTGGAAAGAGGACGTTCAAGGTACGCCTATGTTTCGTCTTTGGGAGCACCTCAAGAGGCTGAGGCACCTACTTTATGATTGGAGTCGTGCCAGGACTACTACGCCAGAAATTGCCGCCCTCTTTTCAGGTTCGATGCCCGCTGGGCAGATAATCCTGAGGTCGGGGCTATGGTTAACTATGTTTGGAAAGAGGACGTTCACGGTACCCCTATGTTTTGTCTTTGGGAGCGCCTCAAGAGGCTGAGGCACCTACTTTATGATTGGAGTCGTGCCAGGACTACTAATTCCTTGCGAAATATTAATACTCTTCATAGCGAAATTGAGCGGATTAAAGCTTCCCATCCAATCGATTGGGAGGCGGTCCGGATGTTAGAAGTGGAGTTGAATCGTCAGTGGGAGGCTGAGGAGATGTACTGGCAGCAGAAGTCCAGGGTCCATTGGCTGAAGAAGGGAGACAAAAATACTTCGTATTTTCATACAGTGACCAGGGCTCGCCGTAAAAAGAACTTTGTGGAAGGTCTTCGGAATGATGATGGGGAGTGGGTCACTGACAAATCTGGGAAGGCTGGGGTGGCGACAACCTTTTATCAACATCTCTTTACCACTGAAAGTCAAGTTGATAACATGGTTGAGCGGGTGGCTGCGTTGCCAATTCCCCAGAGTGTCACCCAAGCTATGAGTAACTCCCTAACGGCTGCGGTTCTCCCCGATGAGGTGCGGAAGACGGTTTTTGCTATGGGGTCTAAACAGGCTCCTGGTTCGGATGGGTTTACGGGGACGTTTTTCAAGGCCTTTTGGGATGTTGTGGGTAGCTTGGTTATTGATGCAGTCTGCTCCTTCTTTGCCTCGAGTAGGATGCTGCGCAGTTTCAACCATACCTGGCTCACTTTGATCCCAAAGGTGGATAGTGTGGAAATAATGAGGCAATTACGGCCAATCAGTTTATGCTAGTTTGTTTATAAAGTTATTACTAAAATTATGGCAGAGAGACTGGCCTGCATTCTACCTCAAATCATCTATGACGGCCAGAATGCTTTTATTCGGGAATGGCAAATTGTGGATAATGTTCGCCTTGGACATGAGTTAATGCACTACTTGAAAATTAAAACGCGAGGTAAGAAAGGGTACATGGCCCTAAAGGTTGACATGGAAAAGGCCTATGATAGGGTCGAATGGCCCTTTCTTCTCGTTGTTCTAGACAAGATGGGCTTTAATTCCGTCTGGCAAGGATGGATTCATGAGTGTCTCAGGTCAGCATCGTTCTCAGTTCTTATGAATGAGACTCCTTCGGGCTTCTTTTCCCCTTCCAGGGGGTTACGACAGCGCGATCCCCTTTCCCCTCTCCTCTTTGTGCTTTGTACGAAAGGTTTTTCGGCCCTGCTTCAAAAGGCTATTACTGAAAAAAGACTTGAGGGTGTAAAGGTGGCTCCTCGAACCCCTAGGATCTCGCACTTATTTTTTGCGGATGATTCATACTTATTTCTACGAGGCACCCTTCAGGAATGTGAGAATTTGATGGTGGTCCTGAATGAGTATAAGGCACTGAGTGGCCAGAAGGTGAACTTGGCTAAGTCGGCGGTGTGTTGCAGTAAAAATATTGTGCGGGAAGACCAGGAGTTCCTGGCGGCAATTCTGGGGGTGGGGGCGGTGGGTGTCCATGAAAAATATCTGGGCTTGCCTACACTGATTGCTCGATCCAAAATGGCGACTTTCCGGTTCTTGGAGGAAAAGTTATTAGAGCGCCTCCAGGGGTGGAAGCAGAGGACGTTATCTTGGGCGGCTAAGGAAACGCTGATCAAATCAATTGCCTTGGCTTTGCCTCTGCATGTTATGTCCTGTTTTGAGCTTCCGGTCTCCCTTTGTCGTCTTCTGGATAAGCATGTGGCGCGTTTCTGGTGGGGCGATGCTGAGGGTCACCATCGGATTCGCTGGTTGTCCTGGCGGAATATGTGCAGAAGCAAGCATGATGGAGGGATGGGGTTTCGACGGTTTGAGCAGTTCAATCAAGCGCTCCTAGCCAAAATTGGCTGGCGCATCCTTACTGAACCGCAATCCCTGCTCGCCCAGGTCTATAAGGGCAAGTATTTCCCTAATGGGACGTTTTTGAAAGCTACGGCCCGCTCTCGCCCTTCTTGGGGGTGGCAGAGTATTATGTTTGGTCGTCAGCTATTAGATAAGGGATTAAGATGGCAAATTGGTAATGGGCAATCTGCTTCTTTGTTGCATTCCAACTGGATCCCGAAATTCCAGCTCGATCCCCCAAGTTATAATCCTATGATCGTTCCGGTGGGGGGTGGGGGGGAGGGGGATCCCCCTGTGGCTGAGGTCATTTGCCAGGGGGGAGGGGCGTTGGGATGATCAAAAGCTGAGCCAGTGGTTTGATCCTTCAACTTGTCGGGCCATCGAAGCGATTCCTCTTCCTCGTCAGAATGTGGAGGACAGGTTAATTTGGCATGATACGGCTGATGGGTTGTTCTCGGTCAAATCTACATACCATTTGGCAGTGGCTTTGGATAAGAGGAATGGGTGCTGGAAGGCCACGGTCTGCTGGATGGATAAGGCTAGTTGGATCCGTTTGTGGGAAGCAAATATCCCCCCAAAGCTGAAAGTTTTTGTCTGGCAGATTCTCAATCGGATCCTACCAACTACTGAGGCTCTTATTAGCAAACGAGTGCCCGTTCTCCCTCGATGTTCGGTTTGCTGGGAAAGTCCGGAAACGATGGAACACCTGTTTCTCTACTGCCCAGTGGCGCGGGCTCTTTGGGATTACTCAGGGCTGGAGTACGTAGGGGAGGGGCTGCCTCGACATACATTCCCATTGTTTCTCAAGAAGCTGATGGCTTTGGTCCACCAGCCCCAGCTGTTTATGGCGGTGGTGGCGGTCCTCTGGCGGATTTGGCGGTCTCGTAACTGGGTGGTCTTTGAAGGAAAACAGTTTTGGTTCCCTGCTTTGATGTGTCCATTTCATCAGCAATATGAGGAATGGGTTCGACTTCCAGTGGATAAGGCTCTTCAACCTTTGGTCCCTTTAAGGGAAGATTTGGGGTTGGAAGGGGATGGGGGGGGTTGTTTGTATGTGGGATGGTGCAGTTCGGCCTGGTTCGCATTCGGCTGGCAAAATTGTTCTGTTATCCCCGACGAGGGTGGTACTAATGGTTAAGGGTGTTCTGTTTCATCTTTTGGAGGACCCAATGACTGTGGAGTTGCTTGTCCTCAGAGAGGCGGTTATATGGTGTCTGGCGAATAACTTCACCAATGTCCAATTTGAAGAAGATGCTAAGGTGATAATTGATAAAATTAATCAAAATGATGCCAGAGACAATCGGGTGGGTGCTGTTCTGGAGGAGATCTTGCACTATTTTCACATCCATCCTGGATTCAGGGTTCGATTTGTAGGTTGGAGTAGTAATAGGGTAGCCCATCTAGTGGCTCGGAAAGCCCTCTCTTTGTACCCGATCATGAGTCGTGTCTTTAACTATCAGGCCTGGCTGAATTCCAGGATGTAACTTTTTGTTGGAATCAATATATGATTATCTTTTGTCAAAAAAAAAAAGAATGGGCTTTAATTAATGTGAGCATATAATTCCACATGATAGCAGTTAAAGAATTTTTTGATTCTAATGATGAAGAAATCAGGGAGCGGGATTCTTCCAGTTATACACCAGTTTTTCATATGCACCTAAATGATGAGGAGATGTTTGTGGAGGACAATAAACGTTCGCGTGAGATGATGCTTGCTGATTCATTTATGCCTTCTCCTGGTCCTCAACCTCTTCTTTTGGAGACTAGTTCGGGCCATTCGGGTGGAGCACCTACTACTACCCTTCAGGGAGAAGATGATCCCCCTGCGAAGCGGCAACTCATGGAAACGGAAGTGCTGCCTCAAGATGATCTGGAACCTGCCAACAGCGAGTGGCCCCATGGGGCTGAATGACCCTGTTAGCTTGGAACTGTTGGGGCTTGGGTCTGGCTTTGAAAGTTCAAGCATTGGAGGGATGTATTCGTGTTTATAATCCTAGTATTTTGTGCTTGTTTGAGACTCGTAATGGTCGTTCGTTTTTCGATAGTGTCGTTCGCTCTTTAGGTTATGTAGATTATAGTATTGTCGATCCTATTGGTTCCTCGGGTGGGCTTGTGGTTGCTTGGAACTCTAATATGCCGGTTTCTTTTTTTTGTAAGGATTCTTATTTCATTGCTTTACAGTCACGTGTTGGTAATATACGTTGTGTGCTTGTGTTTGTTTATCTTTCGTGTGATGATGATGTTCATCATAGGCAATTTGCTTACTTAACTCGTAATTGCTCTCTTTTAGCGGCTCCTTTTATGGTCTTTGGTGATTTTAATGATCTTTTGTGCTCAACTGAGAAAGTTGGTGGCAGGGATTTCAATCCAACTCGTGCTTTATCTTTTCGTAAATTTGTTGATGATCTTGGATTGATGGATATAGGCTTCAATGGTCCTCGATTTACTTGGTCCAACCGCCATTCTGATAATTCTGTCATCTACAGTCGTTTGGATTGTTTTCTTTTCTCAGGTTCTTGGATGCAGGAGTGGCCTCATTGCTCTATCCAGCATCTCTGTGACGAAGGAAGTGATCATCGGGCGCTTTGGTTCAATTGGACTACTGAATAGTTGTCAAGTAGACCCATGTTTATGTTCAATGCTCGCTAGCGTGATAATGCAGAGGTTTCAGGAATTGTTAGTGAGGTTTGGGGTAATACTGTTTCAGGCTCACCTTGCTTTCAATTGTGGTGTTGGATGAAAACAACGAGACATTGACTGTTTCAATGGGCCAAAGGCGGAACTACTAATTCAGCCGCTTTACGGGCAGAATCTTCTCAGCTTCGGAATGTTTATCCGGTTGATTGGACTGAGTTAAACAAAGTAGAGCAGGAGTTAGCTTCAACATGGGCAGCTAGGCCTGTCGGTTCGGTTCGGGTAACCGAACCCAAAAATTGTGAAAAACCGAAAACCTGAACCCGATCCCCCACAACCCAAAACCGAAACCGAAATGTGCTTTGTGGGTTTCGGGTGCTGGAACCCGAAATGTGTGCTGGCGAGTTTTGAGTTTTTTTTTAACTTTTGTGATTTGAATTTTACATTATTTTGCTTGTACAAACAATTTTATTCTTATTATTTGTACATTCTTATTTAACCATTATGTTTAATTTTATGGGACGTGGACAGTATAAAACTAATATTTACATATTAGTTAATTATTAAAATATTGCATTTTATGTATTCTATAACTATAGACATACTATTAACTATTAAAGAGTATTAGTAGTTTAGAGACAAAGTAAAATACTTAAATATATTTTATACGTAACTTAATCATATCTTATTTAATTGTGGATTTTCGTATAAGTAAATGTTTTAGTAATACCATAGGTCCAAAATTGAAGGTATATCAAATATCATATGCAAAAAAAAATGGTGTTTGGCGCAAAATTATAACACATTAGTTTTACAATTCTCAAATGATAACATCCAAGTAAAATAAAAATCCATCCACCATACAAGATAAACACTACTACCATTATCACTCCTCGTCAGGCTCTACATCTACATAAGTCTCATCATTCTCATCAGAATTGTCGTCGACATAGTCTTCTTCCACTTGTGACATAGTAGGACTCGGGACCAAAACATGGGTAGCAGGAGAGCTTCCACTAGGTCCTGCACGAGAGCTTCCACTAGGTCCTACAGGTGCACTTGCACTCCGAGCTTGAAAAGCTGCATATACTGGATAACATAAACAATAACAACTTGTTAGAATATGACTTGATCAAGATAACAAATATAAGAATAAAGAGAAAGATTAAGTCTTTACCATTTTGAAATACCACTTCATCACCCTCATCTTCTCCATCAGCCACCAACTCAGAGTCTGAAGATCTTATCCAATCTTCACAACAAATCAAAGCCTCCACAACTTCAGGGGATAAGGAGGTCCTAAACGAATCTAAAACTCGACCTCCTGTGCTGAATGCCGACTCAGAAGCAACAGTGGAAATAGGAACAGCAAGAATATCCCTAGCCATCTCAGAAATAGTAGGATATTTCATCCCACTTCGCGACCACCATCCCAAGATGTCAAACTTGTATTCATCCTCTTCTGAACCCACCAATGCTCGTGTAACCACTTCATCATCCTCCTCCTCCTCAAGGTACCTATCAAACTCAGATTTGGAACTTTTTCTAGTTCCTTTCAGAATGGCCTCTCTTTTCATTTTCCTAAAATCACCCCAAATCTTCCCTTTCTTCTTCCCATCCCCACTTCCACTAGGTTCTTGCACATCTTCCTGAATCACAATGGGAGAACTGCCAGGAAGTCCGAGCCTATGCTTGTAATGGTCAAACAGAAGACGCATTTCATCTTTCACCTCTTCGACCAAAGCTTTACCCCTGCTCTCACCATATACCTTCTTCAAAGCTTGTTCAAGATATTCAACTTTCCGCCTAGGATCTAATATGACTGCCATATAACACAACCGATTCATCTTGGAATTATCCAACTCATCTTCAAACCAATACTTGGCAAGTTTGGACTTGATTCTCTCAGCCATGCAAGACACCTCAAAATCTATACTATCAGCCCAGTCAGATATCATAGTATACATTTCACATACCTCATCAAACAAGAGGTGTAAAGTCACATATGAAGTCCCAGAAACTCGAACAGTCAAATAATAGAATAGCTTCAGGTAATCAATCAACCTGCCCACACTAGACCAATCATCAGAAATTGTGGTACCAAGGCTTTCCATTCCATATTTTTTTCATTGATGTTTCTTGAATTTCTTATCATTTCTAGCTAATGTCTGAAATGCTTTCTGATGCTCTAAAACACAACACCTAACAATGGCCAAGTGTAACCAATGAAAGGGACTGCAGTATAGTGGCACAAGTAATAAATATCGAATCCACGGGTCTCTAGAGTTACTATTACTCAGCTTCAGTTCATTATCTAGCAAACTAGATTAAGGATTGATTAACTAAACTACTCTACTAACTAAAATAAGTAAAACTACTAATTACAATTTAGGAACTCGCTTAGGTATGATTCCCCCTAGCTCCTCAATTAGGTCCAAGTTGTAATTCCTTTTGGTTGTTTTACTGTTGATTAAACTGCGGAAGATCCGACAGTAGCTTGGAATCTCTTAAGCTGACCAAGCCCTCTCAGTCTAACTATCCGGCAGACGACTAGTCTTCACCGGGATAGACAGCTGAAGCAATAAGCACAGAACTCCACTACTGGAATTGGATTCCAGTACAAAGCAGTAAACTGGCTAACTCTCGTATAGCCAATCTCTTACTACCGAATGATGAGGCTCTAACAACCTAATCAGATTCTATCTATCTCAGGTTGCAGCAGAAATCACGAAAAGTTGATCAGACTTCAATTGACTCAATAAACATGCATCATTCGATTATAATCAAACAATATAGCATTCAAAACTTCATACAAGAAAGATCCTAACTCATGAAACTAGGGTTCCCCAAAACCTAAGTGAAGGGAAGTTACTCCATAGAGAAGAGAGAGACTGCAGAAATCTGATCTAGATCTTCAATCTCCATCTCCAAGCTTGATTCCTGAGCTTCAATGACGAAGAAATCCTCCAAAATAGCTCCAAGAACGTTCCCAAGTCGCTCTCTCACTCTAGGGTTCGTCCCTTGGGTGTTTGGGATCCAAACCCCAGCTCTCCCCCTTTCCTTTTGATGAAAATCGGGTTTTAACCAGCAATTCCCGACTCACACGGCCAGGCCACACGGCCATGTGGCTTTCCCAGCTGCCCGTGTGAAGGCTCGGTGATTTCCACACGGCCACATGGCCAGGTCACACGGCCGTGTGGGTTGTGCCCGTGTGGCTTGCTCAGCCTCTGTTTAATGCTTCGTTTCTCCCTCGTCCGGACTCCGAATCAGTCGCCGTTTGATCCCAGAAGCTCGTATTCTCGTCCTCTTTCTTTTCATGAAAATCTTGCATGATTCTTTGTCCATAAAGTGTGGTAGAAATCCATTCTTCTTCAGGTCATACCCGAGTTTCTTCTCCCGAATCGTCAATTGATCTCTGATTGACTTGAAACTTGCGCCCATGCTTCACTTTATGTGCTAGGACCTGAAATGTGACAAAGGAACACAACCTAGCGTAAAATAGGCCAAAGACACGATAATTCAAGCTCAAACAATCAAGAAACAAAGGGGAAAACATGTGCAAATACCGAGTCATCAAATCCCCCCACACTTAACTGTTTGCTTGTCCCCAAGCAAACCTAACTCAAACCAATGCAGCTCTCCAGAGCTCTATAGCAACATACAACCCCGATCGTCGGTAGAGGATTTCCTAGATCATATAGCAGCTTACGAGGTCAACTGGTCTTCTAAGACGTTCCCTACCTCTCTCAATGCGAGTACTAGACTCAAGCCAGGATCATGAGAAAAAGTAGAAGTAAGACAGTCAGTTCATGGATAAATGGACTCACACCATTCACAACCAAGGATTCGTAGTACCGGGGTGCTCTTTCACTTCATTTCACCGTTGGAACCCCTTTTTCTCACTTTCCTTTACATTTTTTCTTTCATTTGGTGGGGTTCCAACTGCAGTCTTTTGCACGGTCGACCCTTATTAGTCGAGCAAGAGCATTTTCTGTACATCTGGCGCTCGCCAGAGTAATTCTTTTAACTCCTTTTCCTCAAATAGGCAAACCGTTCAACGGGTGGAAGTTTTACTTGTACTAGAGACAACTTAGCTTCACCTTGTAGGAGTACCCCACTAAGGATCACTAAAATCTCTTCCAAAACCCGATTTTGTGCAATGAACGGTGCCGCACACGTTGGGCTTACCCCATGTTTAAGATTTAATGATTTTGACATGGAGGACCAACTGCTTCCCATTTTCCATATGAGCACCCTGTTCGATACACGAGTCCATAACATAATCCAAACAGAGTCACCATTACCACATGAATTCAACGGTCTTAGCTCCACTAATTCACAAAATCAACTGGCACAACAGAGAGCTAGATAGGAAAAATCTTATACTTCAACATCCTCCATAGTGCTACACTACCTCCCTAGGTTGCACATTACTATAAAGACTGTCAATTCAAAGCATACTGAGCAGGCAATTTGCAAGGAAACACGTACTTGGAGCCCTCAAATCGAAATTTGGACAGTGGACTAGGCTACAAGCACACAAACAGCCAAACATTCACCCGCATACATAATCGAACACCCCCCCCCCCCACACACACACACTTAAGCACGACATTGTCCTCAATGGAGGAAAGATAAGGAGGGTAGAACGAAGTTACCAGATCGAGGGTGAATGATGATGAACGGGTCAGGTGGTGCATTCCAGAAATAGAGAGTAATCAGAACACAAACACCACACAAAATCTCACAAAGGTCGAGTTATTGACTCTAAAATCCAATAGCAACTGACTCAACCGAGGAGAAATAGAGAAAGAAATGCAAACCGACTGGTTGGGTTGCCTCCCAAACAAGCGCTTCTTTCACATCGTGAGCCGGACGATGGCTCCTAAGTTTCGGTCCATGCTAGAAACTCATTGAAGTTGAGGTTCTCGTCGATGAGGTGGAGTCTCAAATCACGAGCATGTGGTGTGGCAGGTGATGAAGGCTCATGTACTTGATGCAGATGAAGTCTCCACCCTCGAGACCTCTTCTTCTCTTCTCTCGTCTCATTGCCCCAAACCAGATATGACAGCATCGACCGACCACCATCGCGTCCACCAAGAGGGACCGATGTCGATGTGGCCTTGGTCTGGCAAAGAGACACTGCAAATGGGTCCTTGCCAAGCAGTTCCTCAAAGTTTGGTGGGGATATTACTTGCAACTCATGGCCGGTGCATGCCTCTTCCACCTCAACTTCTTCCTCAGCCTGGACGCCAATTGCTTCCTCAACCCCCCTTCCTTCTTCAAAATGTGGTCTCTCCCCTGGGAAAAGATCAAGAACCACCTCTTCTTTTCTTTCTTCCTCATCATCCACAACTTCCTTCCTCATCCTTGCTCGCTCTTCTTCTTCTAGAACAGATTGGAGAGCAAGTCGCCAAGCAATTTCTTCAATGGGATCATCTTGCATCTCCTCACACGGGCCCAGCATGTTAGAGCATAAATGAGGAAAGGTGTGGTCTGCAACCAAAGGACTTTCCTGATCATGGTTATCATGGGAGTTCTCTGTGATAACTTCTGTATGCTCCTCAACGCTCCCATAGCCTTTGTCATCCTCCACCTCTTCTAGCGTGGTAGCAGAAAGGTGATCTTGAGCAAGATGTGAGCAAACTTGCTTCACCCACTCTGTTTGCTTCGCTGAGCACTGAACAGTCTCCTCCATATCATGGAGAAATGAGGGATCGGAAGTGGCAAGGGCTTTGATTTGAAGATCCATCTTGGAGCATGATTTCTCAGTGTCTCGAGCAAACTGCTCCACGAGAAGCCTTAATTGTTCGTTCGGATCCTCCAGTGAAGTGTAGCATGGCTCTGCAGAGTGGCCCGCGAAGACCGCCATGGGTAACTCCAGCTCCGATGGACCTTCTGGTTGTGGGAGAAAGTCTTCTTGGTAATGAGGTTGTTCTTGATGTGCCCAGGGGTCTGGTTGTTCTCCGTAGAAAGGGGGTTGGTACTGGAACCCGAATCCATAGTCTTCTCCTCCTTGATTGCTCCAGGGAGTCTCGGGGTAATACCACTCGGGTGGTGGTGGATACCCCCAATGGTTGGAGAAGCCATGAGGATCCATGATTCAGATCTGCACCAACAAAAACAAAAACACCCAAGTGAAAAGCAAGGGTGGAAAAAGAAAAGAAAAACGCTAAAGTAACAAACTTCTGCCTTTCCTAATACTCTAGAAAGTCCCCGGCAACGGCGCCAAAAACTTGATGCTCTAAAATACAACACCTAACAATGGCCAAGTGTAACCAATGAAAGGGACTGCAGTATAGTGTCACAAGTAATAAATATCGAATCCACGGGTCTCTAGAGTTACTATTACTCAGCTTCAGTTCATTATCTAGCAAACTAGATTAAGGATTGATTAACTAAACTACTCTACTAACTAAAATAAGTAAAACTACTAATTACAGTTTGGGAACTCGCTTAGGTATGATTCCCCCTAGCTCCTCAATTAGGTCCAAGTTGTAATTCCTTTTGGTTGTTTTACTGTTGATTAAACTGCGGAAGATCCGACAGTAGCTTGGAATCTCTTAAGCTGACCAAGCCCTCTCAGTCTAACTATCCGGCAGACGACTAGTCTTCACCGGGATAGACAGCTGAAGCAATAAGCACAGAACTCCACTACTGGAATTGGATTCCAGTACAAAGCAGTAAACTGGCTAACTCTCGTATAGCCAATCTCCTACTACCGAATGATGAGGCTCTAACAACCTAATCAGATTCTATCTATCTCAGGTTGCAGCAGAAATCACGAAAAGTTGATCAGACTTCAATTGACTCAATAAACATGCATCATTCGATTATAATCAAACAATATAGCATTCAAAACTTCATACAAGAAAGATCCTAACTCATGGAACTAGGGTTCCTCAAAACCTAAGTGAAGGGAAGTTACTCCATAGAGAAGAGAGAGACTGCAGAAATCTGATCTAGATCTTCAATCTCCATCTCCAAGCTTGATTCCCGAGCTTCAATGACGAAGAAATCCTCCAAAATAGCTCCAAGAACGTTCCCAAGTCGCTCTCTCTCTCTAGGGTTCGTCCCTTGGGTGTTTGGGATCCAAACCCCAGCTCTCCCCCTTTCCTTTTGCTGAAAATCGAGTTTTAACCAGCAATTCCCGACTCACACGGCCGTGTGGCTTTCCCAGCTGCCCGTGTGAAGGCTCGGTGATTTCCACACGGCCACACGGCCGTGTGGGTTGTGCCCGTGTGGCTTGCTCAGGCTCTGTTTAATGCTTCGTTTCTCCCTCGTCCGGACTCCGAATCAGTCGCCGTTTGATCCCAGACGCTCATAGTCTCGTCCTCTTTCTTTTCATGACAAGCTTGCATGATTCTTTGTCCATAAAGTGAGGTAGAAATCCATTCTTCTTCAGATCATACCCGAGTTTCTTCTCCCGAATCGTCAATTGATCTCTGATTGACTTGAAACTTGCGCCTATGCTTCACTTTATGTGCTAGGACCTGAAATGTGATAAAGGAACACAACCTAGCATAAAATAGGCCAAAGACACGATAATTCAAGCTCAAACAATCAAGAAACAAAGGGGAAAACATGTGCAAATACCGAGTCATCACTTTCTCAAATGGCTTTGCAGATTCCAACATCAGATACGTTGAGTTCCACCTTGTAGCTACATCCAACGAAACACATTTCTTCGACACTATCTTTTCAAAATCAATGCAATCTTTGAATTTTCTGCTCCTAGCTGGTGTAGATTTAACCCACTTCATAGACTCTCTCACTCGCTCCGCAGATTTACCAGTTTCTTTAAGCCCATCCTTCACAGCCAAATTAATAATGTGAGCCACACACCTCATCTGCAGATACTTTCCATCCAAAATATTTGATCCCCACTCTTTCAATTGTTCCTTCATATGGATAACAACCACATCATTGACACTAGCATTGTCCATTGTTATACAAAACACCTTCCTAATGCCCCACTCCACCAAACAACTAGCCAACTGTTTTCCAATTTCACCTCCAGAATGTTAATGGTAGTGTTGGTTAATTAGATTACCCTAATTAAGAATATTGGTCTACATGACCCAACCCTAATTTAGAGATTTTAATAAAGTAATTGATCAAAATAACCTTCAATTAATTAGGACTCTTGTATTACTATTTTAATCTAACGGCTGGAAAGATAGTTAGCATGGTGCTAACCCACTAGGGGGTTAGCAACCAATCTCATTCCGAAAAATATCTTGCCCAATAATGACTGCATTAAATAGAAAGGACCATATCAGCATACATTGGGAGGATAGAAGCCAACAGATAGATTTTCCAACCTTCAAAAGGATTCGACAGTTAATGAAAAAACACAGAACCGATTCATAAGGAAACAAACAGCTAGAAAATCAAACAGTTCAACGATCCTTAAGCAGAACAAGACCAATCCTACAAGAAGCAAAAGCATCAATGTGTATGGCATACAAGATCCAATCTCTTCGAGATCGGATAGATACGAAGAATGAGAAGAGAGCTTTTTGCTTCTGTCGTCTTCTTCTTCTTCTACAATTTTGGTGCTCTTTCATTCAGGAGGCACATGGAAATCTCCAGGTTGATTGGTGATGGTGAAGAGATGGCGGGTGGGATAATTGGGTTATGGACATCCTCTATAGCTTGGATTTTCATAATAACAAACAAACAAACAAACCAGAGGGAGATCAAATCACATACTGCAAGATCAATCTACCCATCTGAATAGAACAGTTGCGCAACAGAGATCAAATCACATACTACAAGTAATAGTATTTGGTATGATGTGTTTTGTTGTAGTCTATATGTGGACGAAATTCTGGCGTAGATAAGATTCGGCTAAAGATTCATACATGTTTTCTGTGATGGTACTTGGCTGGTATTATATCATTCCCCAGTCTACTTAGATATATTCATTCGTACACAAGTTGCTTGAAACCAGCATTTTTGGAGCAGTGTAGTCTGCACATCTGCGAGCAATCTACTTGATTCCTTGAGCAGATACCAAAAACACAGATGAAATAGCAATGCCCAGATGCTGAAAACAATGTTATTCAGTCCAACCCTTCAGCCCTACCAACTGTTCAGAGTAAAAAACTTCCATTCAAGATCACAACTAAGCACAAACACAGCAAAAACCCAGATGCTAAATTCGAAACTAAATTAATCATAGAACAGAAATGAGGGGCAACAGCAAACACTCACCTGCCTTACTTAGACGAGCCAAGTAGAGAAGAAATCAGAACCCCTACATCAAGTGGATGCCAATCAAAATCAAAATTCAGGAAAGGTAAAAGCAGCTTACTGGGATTCCATCTCTGTTTTGCTACTGGTCGTTGACACAAGATCTGTACTGCTCTCCGGCAGCAAGATGGCGGCTACAGAAACCTAATTGAAGCCTCGAACCCAGATGGATTGCTGCATTGCTGGGAGGCAGAGGGAAGGCGAATCGGGAGATGATGAAAATGTAAGCGAGGGAGAGGACGGCTAAGGCGATGTCGGAGATCCCCTCGAGGCCGTTGGCAGCGAGGACGTTGACGGCGGCGAGAAGTTGAACTGAGAAGGGAGGCTCTGTTTCGGCGAAGCCTCGAGCAGTCCAGCAGAGCAATTCTCCTCTGTCGCAATTCGCAAGGAGATACCCGAACCCTAAGAGGTCCAGAAAACGTCACCGTTTACTCCAATCACAATTCACAACTTTCTGGTTTTTCGGGTTTTAATTGGTTTTCGGGTTACAAAAAAACCGGAACCGCTAACTGTTGCTTCGGTTTGAAACCGAAAACCTGAAACCCGACTTCAGTGTTTTCGGTTTGGGTTCGGTTTAACCCAAAAACCCGAAACCGATTGGACAGGCCTATGGGCAGCGGAAGAGCTTTATTGAAAACAACGATCCAGATTCAGTTGGCTTAGGGAGGGGGACCGGAATGCTAATTATTTTCATACTGTTACCCTTGCAAGGAGACGACGTAACAAGCTTCATGGTTTATTCAATTCGGATGGCATTTGGGTGACGGAAGAGGTTGCAAACCAACAAGTTTTGATTGATCATTACAAGGAACTTTTCTCCACCGATCATTCTGACATTGACTTTGCCGCAAGAGTGGATGCTAGAGTGGCTGAGCTTCCACTATCTTCTTTTGTGACTCCTGATATGAACTCTTCATTGACAGCCGAGGTTTCTGCAGTAGAAATTAAGGAGACGGTCTTTCCTATGGGGGATTACAGTATACTTGGTTCATATAGGTTTACGGGGTGTTTCTTCAAGTCTTTTTGGCCAATTGTGGGTGACAGTGAGGTAAGAGCTATTCAATCTTTCTTTTAGTCTGGGAAGCTTCTAAAAAAATATGAATCATACCTGGTTGACTCTAGTTCCTAAGGTTGATTTGGTGGAGCGGGCTTCTCAACTGTGACCTATTAGTCTTTGCCAATTTTTGCATAAGGTAATCACTAAAATCTTGGCCAGCAAGTTGGGCTCTCTATTACCATCTTTAATCTCGCCGGAACATAATGGATTTGTCCAGGAACGACAGATAGCGGACAATGTGCTCGTGGCTCTGGTTCATTTCATAAAGAATAAAAGAACGGGGAGGGAAAATTTTATGGCCCTCAAACTCGATATGGAGAAAGCTTACGATAGTATTGAATGGCTATATCTGTTTGCTATTCTTCGAAAATTGGGATTCGCCCCACTTTGGAATCATTGGGTGCGAGAATGTGTCATTTTAGCTACTTTCTCTGTCATGGTCAATGGCAAACCTTCCGGATATTTTTCCTCCTTGTGTGGTTTACGCCAAGGGGATCCAATTTCCCCATTGTTATTTGCATTGTGTTTGGAGGGGTTTACAGCTATGATCAAAAGAGCCATCTCTCGACGGGAACTTCATGCGGTGCGGATTAATCCTCGGTGTCCTCCGGTTTCTCATCTTCTGTTTGCCGACGATTCATTTTTATTCCTTCGAGCTTCCCGAAGGGATGCTTCTTTCCTTCTTCAGGTACTGCAAGATTTTGAGGGCATTAGTGGTCAAAGGGTTAATCTTAACAAATCAACAGTTTTCTGCAGCCCTAATATGTTACAGCCTGAACAAGAGGATTTGGGTGCTTTTCTTGGCGTGGGTTCCATTGTGCTTCAGGATCGTTTCTTATGCCTTCCCTCTCTATTGGGGAGATCCAAAGTGGAGACCTTTCGTTTTGTCAAAGAAAAGTTGTTGTCTGTTCTTCAGGGTTGGAAACGGAGATCATTATCAGCAGCTGCAAAAGAAACTCTCCTCAAAGCGATTGCTGCGGCCCTTCCAATTTATATCATGTTCTATTTTCGGCTTCCTACTGATCTTATCAAACGTCTTAATGCACACATGGCTCGCTTCTGGTGGGGTGCCTCTGAACAGCAACGACAGATACATTGGCGCTCATGGAAGCTACTTTGTTCTACCAAACAACCAGAGGGTCTAGGTTTCCGGGAGTTCGGGGATTTCAATCAAGTGCTACTAGCAAAAGTAGCATGGCGAGTCTTCTCTGAACCAACTTCACTTTTAGCTTGTATCTATCGTGGACGTTATTTTAGTACATCACCATCTATCTTGGAGGCAATGACAAGGTCCAATCCTTCCTGGGGTTGGCGTAGTGTGCTGTTTGGTTGTGATTTGTTCAACCAGTGCCTTTGTTGGCAAGTAGGTGACAAATTCTCCATTAGAGCTCTCTCGGATCATTGACTCCCGACCACTCCACCCTCTTCCCCTATGGCTCGGCCATGTACTTTGATGCTCCTACGGTTCAACTTATCGTGGAAAACCATTACCTCTGCATCGCATAGCTGGTCAAGTTGTTTGGCATTATGAAGCTTCGGGTATCTTTTCTGTAAAATATGCCTATTATCTGGTAAGCCAATTACATGTTGCCCCTTCGTCTAAGCAACTTGCTTGCTTCGTTAATTCTAAGCTATGACAGTGGGTTTGGAATAGGAAAGTCCCTCCAAAACTTTTTTTTTATGGCAATGTCTCCATCGTATTCTTCCAACTAGGGAAGCTTTGGTCATTAGGGGTATGTATTTAATTCCAATTTGTCCGGTTTGTGGTCCGAAGGAATAAATGATTGAACATTGGTTTTTAATTATTTAGTGGCTCGAAAGTTTTGGAGACTTCTTGGTTTGCAGGACCTTTGGCAGCGGTCGGAGAAGAGGACTTTTGTTGGGTTCATTCGCAACTCCCTTAGTCAAACTAATGGTGGGGATGCATATTATATCATTATACAAGTAATATGTTTGCTTTGGAGGTTGTGGAAGAATTGGTGTATGGTGGTGTTTCAGGGGAAGCAACTTCGACTAGATGTACTGGCTAATCAACGGCTATTCCAACTGAAGGAGAATGAGCAAGCACTGTTAATTTCGCCAGATATTCCTCAGCGGTTGCTTACTCAAACTCAGTCCACTATGGCTGGTATTCATGGATGTTATGCATCCTTTGATGCTGCAACTTCGCAGGCTGGTTTTGGCACCACAAGTTCTGTCTTTTTTATGTTTCAGGTATGCTCATTGGTGCGAATTCTCGTAGATATGAAGCTATCTTTGATCCGTGCGTCTTGGAAGCCTTGGCTTTGCGGGATTTTCTTGTTGATTGTCACTCCCGAGTGCAGCAGAGTTCGGTTTGCATTGCTTGTGACACAAAACTCATTATCGACAAGGCTTTAGCAAGGGATTATGCAGACAACAAGATTGGTTCAATCCTGAAGGAAATTATTTCACTCTTGGACGCGATGAATTCATCTCGGGTTCAGTTTATTGGTAGAGTTCAAAACAGAGCGGCTCATTGTGTAGCCCGTCATGCTCTGTCTTTGTTGACTCCCCTGTTAAGGAGGTTCGACTTCTGTTCATAGTTTCGTAGTAGGGACATTTGATGTACTATGTGTCTTTGTATCTGGATCCTTTCCTCTTTTGTAGAGTGATCTATTGAAACAAAAACAAAAACTTTCTTCCCTAGCGTCCAACTTTTAATAGCCAAGTACGCTCCGTTTAAATTGTGTTACACACGTATCTAAACCATATATATGTCCAGTAGAAAACTTGCTTATTAGTTATTTGGGTAAATGCCACATTTGATCACTGGGATTAATAAATCGTGTTATGTTAAATCACTAGAAAAAATTAATATCAATTTTGGTCATTCGAATTACTAAACATGTCACATTTAGTTACTCTCTCGTTAGCCTTCGTCCAACTCCGATCACTCGAATTACTTTCTTTTTATGAATGTCACTCGAATTATTGAAACATGTCACATTTAGTCACTCACCCATTAGTTTTCGTCCAACTCCATTAATTGAGTTGGACGGAAACTAAGGGGAGAGTGACTAAATGTGACATGTTTTAGTAATTCGAATGACCAAAACTGATATTAATTTTTCTAGTGACTAAACATGACATGATTTAGTAATCTCAGTAACCAAATGTGGCATTTACCCTTAGTTAAAAGATGTGCAGTAATCTCTAACGATGAATAGGTAATTAGAGGGTCATTTTAATTTTTAAGTGGTGTTTAGGAGTTGATTCTCTTGCATGAGATTTTTTTTTTTTTTCTTTCATTTTTTGTAAAGGGATTTTAGTTCATTAGTCATAAAATGTTGTGTTAATCCTTTTGAATTGTTGAACTATTTTAATAATTTGGATTCTCTTATTCTACAAATCGATTCGAATCTTTCGAGTATTTGAAGTACTTAAATTATCTTATACCAATGCATGATTCGAATACAAAAAGTCACTATTATTTATGTGATTGACAACTGAATCCGGCCAATTGACCGGGCCCGTGACTAGTTATTTAGTATATATGTTGTCTTGCTACCCATCTACAGATACAATGACTAAAATCTTCTCATGACGGCCTCGTCCAGTCGTCCTAAAGATGCCCTAAATATGGAGTGTCTGCTTAATACTTTGGATTACAAGTCTACAACTATAGATGAACACGAACTGTCTAGAATATGACTAGCCAATCGAATAGATAATTGAACACTACTTCACACTACTATCAATGACAGTTTTTCACACAAGTGCAACCAAATAGATAGTTTGGCCACAAGAAATCCCCCCACAAACCAAGTCTTTTTCAATTGTCCATCCATTCCCCAGAATGGCCATCACCATTCTGAATAGCAACAATATATAAAACACAATCAACTAGCTAGCTGGTAAAAACGTACGTCTAATCCCTCCTCAATCATCATTAATATCCTTCCCCTCATCGTTTTCACCATCCTCTTCATCGCTACTTACGTCTCCCGCGTGCATGTCAACAAACAAATGCTGGGCATGACTTGCAGCTCTGAGCCAATCCTTGAGGCAAACGCACATCTCCGCAGTTTCTAGCCGAATCTCCCACCTACGACTGTTAACTTCCGGCGAATGGAAATCAAATGTATCATCCGGCACTTTGGCTGAAGCTAGAGGCGCCAATACTTCACGAGCCATGGTAGACAGCACCGGATATTTAACCTGGTTATGTTTCCACCATTTCAAGACATCAAACATGTCCAGTTTATCAATGTCTTCTTCCATGCTGAAACCAGACACATCATTAGATGACAGGTAATAGTTGAGCTCAGAGTAAGAATCCACATCACCGCCCTTTCTCACACTACGAACAAGACGAACTGCAGTTTTAGTACCGCTACTGCTGCAGCCTTCTGCTCGAACCAGATCTTTGGGAATCGGAGTAGGGCTATACTGCTGAAAATATGCATCATACATTCTGTAGAGTAGAGCCTGAACCTCATCTTTCGTATTGCCAATCGAGGAATTCATGTTAGCATGATAAGCATCCAACAACCTGAACAAGCCAGCTAGTTTGTATCTGGGATCCAAGATTGTTGCAAGACAATACACCATGGGGATTCCTTCACCATCCCAGTAAGCTGAAAACTTAGCCTGCAGGCCAACACAAAACTGACCAACATGTTTGTCATCTCTATACTGGGCAAATGCTTCACTCAGAGTAAAAAGTATGGGGATGACCAAGTTGGTATTCGGAACATAAAGGCTACAGAAGATATCAAAAGCTGCCCTGAACCTTTCAAAGAAGTCTCTCATGGTGCATACAACTTGCCATTCATCTTCTGTTAAGGGTTCTCCATCATGACAATAAGTACCAGCAGCAAACTCACGGTTACAAAACTCAGTAAGTATGTGGCGTTTGCGAATGAAAGCATCCAGCATATCATAAGTCGTGTTAACCCACTCCGGTGTATCCGGAAGCAATCTTTTATGCCTCACACAGCTCTGGCTGCACATCTCTTTAAACTGCAGTGTCCTTGCCTCATCCCAGTAGATGAAATCGATAGCATTTCTGACCTTATCGAGCTGTGTAGAAATCACTGAGAACCCATCTTCGAAACATGAATTGAGAATGTGATACGCACATTTGCTATGGAAAAGCCGCTCATCGAATACCGGATTCAAAGAAGACCGCAGCTGTGAAACGGTATCAGGAACATTGGTCAGAATCAGATCATCGAAGTTCATTGAGAGGATTTTACCCTGGAGCCCCCATTTCGAAACGGCTTCCATAATCGAAGACGAGACATTCTCAGGATCCTCCATCGGCCAATCTAGCCGCAGCCAGCCTATAACCCTGCTTTGCTTCTCCCAATTCTCATCAATCCACTGACAGCTCAAGTACAAATAAGCCAGGGTCAACCCCGATAGAATGAAATTGTCAGGGTCCGGCCAGGGCCACGACCAGACCCCGCTGGTCAACGAGACGCGACAGTTCAAATCCCTAAGAGTCGAGCGCAAAGACTCGGTCTCGGTTCCGAAAAGCTTCATCGCACCTCTCCTAACGTTTACACTCGTGACCTTAGGGGCAGCCGGGTTCAAAATTATGAAAGTCTGCTGGAAAGCAACACTGTCCACGAATAGAAACGGTAGAGATTCGGCAACCGCCCATTTAACAAGATGAATCCCACCTGGTATTAGCTGGTAAACATCGTCGGTACCGGCGGAGGATAAGGCATCTGTGTCCGCCAAAGGATGGTTCTTCGTGTCCTCCGGATCCAACGGCTCTTGGCTGCGGCGCTTCGCTCTCCGTTTAGGGTTTCCGGAACTCCCTTTACTGGAAAAGAGTGAACGGGCTGGAGGATCCATAACCTCCGAAATCGAGATTCACCTGAACTGTGAAAGAAGAAGAGAATCGAGAGGCTGCGCCGGAGAAAAGACGATCGGGGATTCAGCTTCAGAGTAGACGAAAATGTTGAATGAGGTCAGTGGAGAGGGTTAGAGAAGTGGGGAAGTTCAGTGAGAAGAAGATGGCAGGCGCAGAGGAGAAAGTGGGCGCGGTATTTGAGGGGGGAAATCCCGCCAACCGTTCGATGCCTTTTGGCAAAGGGCCCGATTTTCAAATCTATACGAGCAAGCTAAAACTGGGCCGGTGCACCGTCTTCCGCTGGGCTTTGTCGCACGGCCCATCCCCACGGCAATATGCCACGTAATCATTAATCAACTAGCTTGACCCCGACCCTTGGCCGGATGAGTTTCTAGCATTCACATATATTTATTTAATAACTTTCTACCAGTGCATTTTCCGGGTAAATTTTGTTTGAAATATGTTTTATGGAATATTTTTTCTCCTACATTGTCTATTTTGTTCAGGCTATTATTGTCATCTCTCATCTCGAATCATGTGTACCTTTGAGCTTATCAGTTGGCCGAAAGTGATTTTTCTTTAAGGTAATTTAGTTTGTACCACACGAAAATATTTTAACACCCATGAAATTTTTGTGCATTATTATTATGATAGTACAAAATTAAACATTGATATAATTTAGTAACTCATTAGAATAAGAAATTTGTTTTATGACGGTAGAATCGAATGATATTGATGTAGTTTAGCAACTATCGAATATGAGAGTGACTTGTGAATGTATGATTGTGATAATGTTTTTGAAAGAAAAAAAAATTCAACTTATATAAAAATGGGTATCATTGAGTAGATCACATAAAATCTAATTTTTTTGCGAAACAATATTTAAATTCGGAGTTGAAGCGGAAAAAATATGGATCGAATAAGAATAGTATGGTGATTGAAAAATAAGAGAGAGAGTGTGTGTTAAGTGGCACAATCTAATTGGAGTGCAGAATAACTATAAAGAAAAATTATAATGAAAAGAAAAAAAAGAAGTTACGAAAACATCTGATTGGTGGAAAGGGAAGTTAAGAAAAAATCTGATTGGTGGAAAGGGTGCTGATGTGGATGCGTAGGAGGGATGGATTTTTTAAACGGTGAAGGTGGTTATTGGAAAAGTCTTTATATATTTTATAGATAGATTTAATTTAATGTTGTTCAAACTGAAAATTCTTGATCTTTGATGTATCCTCCAAACAATGTACACAGGCATAGGCAGAGCTAGGGGGTATGTGATGTGTCCCGGGACACATGTAATTTTTGAGTAAAATAATATACTCCATATATATGAATCAATTAAGGATTGCACTCGTCAACTTTAGGTAATATAAAAGTGTTTTATCGCTACACTACAAGTTATTTCAAGTTTAAAAGCTAACATAAATCAATGTATCACACTATAAACAAAATTCACGAAACCTAAAGGTCGATTTCTTTGTCTTCTAAAGTTAGTTTTGACTCTACTCATTACAATTGCAAGTGTAGAAAGAACAATTTCAGCTTTGAGCTATATTAAAAACAAGTTTCAAAGTCGAATTGCGACCAATTTGCTATGATTGCTTAGTCTCATACATTGAGAATTTGAAAATGCGTTGTGATTGCTTATGAAAATAATGATTGTATTAGTCTAGTATTTCTTAATATATATGATTAAATGATTTAGTATTTCTTTAATTATATTTCTTAAATATTTATTTATTTATTTATTTTATATTATGGAAAGAGGATACAGGTACTTTCAGATTATGCCTCCGCAACTCTAAGCAGGTTCCTCTCCAATACCTATTTCATTCTATTTTTCCCAGCTTCTGGGCAGTCTTGGGAAGGAGTTCCTGGTCATCTACTATTTTTTATATTTAAGGGTAAATACAATTTAATATCCAAACCTTTCATTTTAAACAATATAATAGCCAAACCTTTTCGAAAACAATTTAATATCCAAATCGTCAACTTTCTTGATATGATCCTAATTCGAGAATCCTCCCAAATCGGACCAAAAATCAGAGTTGCACACGTCGAACTTTTTTAGGGGTTTTCTCCTTTCTTGAATAACACGAAAATAAAGATACTTGCGGAATCGATCAAACAAATCCGAACTCGTGAGAAGGGCCAGAAGGTATATGAAACCTTCCAAACAATCTCGAACCCGTGGAAGAGGCCAATCGATATCGTCGATGCTCGCCACAACTAGACGCGTTCTCTAGTTGATAAGAGACCACTCAAACCTCCCGAATCCTCAAATGAGCGAATAAGCAAAACGTTCACTTGAACTTGTAAACACTTGTATTTGATTGCTGAAACTTGAATGAAAAATACATTGGTTGGACTCCTATTTATAGACCCACGAATCTAAACACAAAACAACTAAGGAAAACCAAATCCTACTTGAAAAAGGAAAACAAAAACCTTAACAAACAAGGAAAACAAAAACCTTAACAAACAAGGAAAAGACTAAGTCAACAACTACCCTTGAATCTAGCCTTCAAATCCGCCCCCCCCCCCCCCCCCCCTTGTGTTCACACTTGAAATTCCTTTCACACCTTGTGTTCACACCATGCTCTTTATCCATTGTTGATTCCATTCACACCTTGAGACTCCTTCTCCATGGCCGACCCTCCTTCCCTCCCTTTGAGCCCAATTTCGTGATCCACATAGCTTAATAGTGTAATGGACTTTCCTTCTAGCAAATCCAAGCTTAAGCCCTCCAACTCCTTAGCCAAATAGCTTGCAATTTGATCCCGAAAAGCCTTAGCCCTAGCTCGAGTCATTGGCCCTTCAACTTGAGTGTCTTTGGCTTTGATGACCTCATCAGTCCCTCCCTCTTGAAAAGGATTTGCCCTCAAATCCGAATTATCATCCAGAAATGGTGCAAGATCAGCAACATTGAAAGTTGCACTTATGCCGTATTCTCCTGGTAGATCAAGCTTGTATGCATTTGTTCCAACCTTCGAAATGATTTGAAAGGGACCTTCACTTCTGGGCAGCAACTTGGATCTCCTTTGATGTGGGAACCTTTCCTTCCTCATATGCACCCACACTCAATCTCCTACTTCAAAATTTCGAGCCTTTCTATGCTTGTTGACGTTCTTCAAGATCTGCTCCGTCCTTCTTTCAATATTTAGCCGAGCCTTCTCATGGAGATTCTTCACATACTCCGCTTTCTTAGCTCCATCCATGTTTACTTGCTCCTTCAAAGGTAAAGGTGTCAAATCCAATGGGGTAAGAGGATTGAACCCATACACAATCTCGAATGGAGAATACTTCGTTGTCGAATGCACGACTCTATTGTAAGCGAACTCCACGTGAGGTAGGCAGTCCTCCCATGTCTTGATGTTGCTCTTGATGATGGCTCTAAGCATTTGAGATAGAGTACGATTCACCACTTCAGTTTGCCCATCCGTTTGAGGGTGACAAGTAGTCGAAAACAAGAGCTTCTATCCAAGCTCTGATACCACTTGATATGATCCTAATTCGAGAATCCTCCCAAATCGGACCAAAAATCAGAGTTGCACGCGTCGAACTTTTTTAGGGGTTTTCTCCTTTCTTGAATAACACGAAAATAAAGATACTTGCGGATCGATCAAACAAATCCGAACTCGTGAGAAGGGCCAGAAGGTATATGAAACCTTCCAAACAATCTCGAACCCGTGGAAGAGGCCAATCGATATCGTCGATGCTCGCCACAACTAGACGCGTTCTCTAGTTGATAAGAGACCACTCAAACCTCCCGAATCCTCAAAGGAGCGAATAAGCAAAACGTTCACTTGAACTTGTAAACACTTGTATTTGATTGCTGAAACTTGAATGAAAAATACATTGGTTGGACTCCTATTTATAGACCCACGAATCTAAACACAAAACAACTGAGGAAAACCAAATCCTAATTGAAAAAGGAAAACAAAAACCTTAACAAACAAGGAAAAGACTAAGTCAACAATTACCCTTGAATCTAGCCTTCAAATCCCCCCCCCCCTGTGTTCACACTTGAAATTCCTTTCACACCTTGTGTTCACACCATGCTCTTTATCCATTGTTGATTCCATTCACACCTTGAGACTCCTTCTCCATGGCCGACCCTCCTTCCCTCCCTTTGAGCCCAATTTCGTGATCCACATAGCTTAATAGTGTAATGGACTTTCCTTCTAGCAAATCCAAGCTTAAGCCCTCCAACTCCTTAGCCAAATAGCTTGCAATTTGATCCCGAAAAGCCTTAGCCCTAGCTCGAGTCATTTGCCCTTCAACTTGAGTGTCTTTGGCTTTGATGACCTCATCATTTCTGTCTGTTTAACCGTTAGTTGACACTTCAAAAAAGTTCGAAGTACGACACTTCATCAATATCCATCTATATCTTCTCTGAAAAACCACCAACATATCGTAATTCCAAACCCGAGAAGTCCATGACTCCACCATGATGGTATAGAATATCTAAATATTCAGTCATCTGCAATGCCAAAACAAGAAAACAAAGTTGTATTGTGACAATTTCCCCTAAACAAAGCTTTCTTGAAGTGTCAACTAACGGTCAAACGAACGGAAAGTTGAAGATTTGGATATTAGATTGTTTTCAAAAAGGTTTGGCTATTATATTGTTTAAAATAAAAGGTTTGGATATTAAATTGTATTTACCCTATATTTAATTATGAAAACAACCTTCTTGGGTTTCTTTCCGGTGTTTGTATTTTGTATTTTAATTCATGATTTGGGGTTCCTTTCTCTATGTGGGTCTGATGCTTTGGTTTAGAATAAAGCCAAATATGGAAAAGGGTACACGGCAGCATTCCAAGTATAGAGAATATGTTTTTTTTTGTTGCAAAGAAGTATTGAGAATATGTTTTTTTTGTCAAAGAAGTATTGAAGGTATGTGGATATTTACAACTTAGTCATAATATAGGTATGTGAATATATTAGGATAACAACAACACATGGTTAAAGATGGGTGATTTCAAAAATCACATTCCATATTAATTTTTAGGGTAAATACAATTTATTAGCTAAAAATTTTAAAATTTTTAAATTATTAGTCTAAACTTTCGAAATACAAAGTATTAGCCAACCATTAGCTACCCGTTAGCAGTTTTATTATTAATGTTAACATGACAATATGATATTGGGTCGAAAAAGACACGTGGAAGTCAACCTTTCAAAACTTTAGTATTTTAATTAAAAAAAGAGTTACAAAATTATTAGCA